AAGTTACTTAAATTAAAGAAGAATATAGGCCTTCAAGAATAACTTTAATACAGCAGTTAGAAAGATATGATTTTACAATCTCAAAACCTTTATACAAAGAAACTAATAGTTGGAATAGAATGAATGTTTTCTAGAGTTTTGAAAAACTGAAAGCACTTATTTAGCACTTTTTAAAAATTTAGCAAAAATTGAAGAGAGTTCTGGAGAACTCTTTTTTAAGGCTATTATGGAAAGCCTGAAGCATAAACTCTAGAAGTGATCAATTGAGAACTAACTTTAGCATTGAAAGCTAGAGTGATTTGAATGTTTAACAATGGGTTAATCTGGTTAACAGGTAGGAAGAGTATGGCCATTAGATTCAAGATTCAATTTTGAGTAAGATTTCTTTGCAAATAACTCTGGTGAAAAGTAAAAACATCAGACCCCTGAAATAGAGATTTGATATTAGACTTACTTTAGTTAATGATATTGTTAAAGTCTAACCGAAAGTCTCTAGAACCTAACTTCTGATATAAGATACAAGATTTAGTAAACTGAGAATAACAGAGCTTAACATCAGACAGATGGCTACTTAATAGGCTTAACTTAAAAATAAAGAATATGAATAAAAGCTTTCAAACTTTTAGTCCATATCGGATAAAAGCTTTCAATATGCGTTTAATGCATGCATATTATGGATATAAATATATATGTTTGCTATTTATTTAGATGCTGGAAGACAGTATCCTTTAATTTTTATATAAAATTTAGTATTCATATGGTGTAGTATTTTGCCGAAAGAGAAGATGATCAAACGATAACAACGACGACGATGATGATGATGATGATGATGATGATGATGATGATGATGATGATGATGATGATGATGATGATGATGATGATGATGATGATGATGATGATGACCACCACTATCATCATCATTATCATCATCATCATTAATAATTGTGATTATGATAATCATGTTGATCATAAATATGTTTTTATGCATATATATACAAAATATAAAGTGAACTTTGAATTAAAAAATACAATTCAGCATGTATAACTGTTTATGCAATCCTGGTCACAAACCCAGCCCCGGCCACGGTCCTGGCTATATTTTATCAAAACCGGCCCAGGCTCCGGTCAAATATCAACCCCGGTTGCTTAAAAATGTGAAGCGAGTAATTGAGAAAAGACAGCGAGAAAAAAGAGATGAGCTAAACGCAAACATGGAACACCTCGATAGCATGGGTATGCGTTGTGATGTTAACAACAGGAAAAAGTCTCTCAATGTTGCAAGAAAGCGAGTTTTGAAAAAATAACAGTAGAGGTATCAGAGTTTGAAACTAATTACTTTTAAGTACCACAACCTGGACAACACCAGAACCATAAAGATAATATCCAGAGTTGTTAGCTATTAAAAAACAACTTAGTGTTTAATACAAGCATGCCAAGCATCTATCTGTAACAAAAACATTCCATAAATACATGCAATAAATCTAGCAGTAATAGTAATTATACAGACTCAAGTGAAATAACCTGTTTCTACACTAATGTTTTATCAGTTTGTATTAAAATGGATATTCTTGCTGCAACTGTCTCAGCAAGAATATCCATTTTAATATTCCCCTTAGTGGCAATTACAAAAACTTCAATGATTACTCCAGCTTCCAATTACCAAATTACAATTTTTTAAATGACAACACACCTTAGTCATATGGTGGCGTTGCAATATATACACAAAAAAATATGCAAGCACCCTACTTTATTGCAAGCACCCTACTTTAATGGAATTGAGCATCAAAGTAAAATACCAGACCAGGTATGGTGTATAATATCTCACTAAAGTAGGAAATTCCTCAATATATGTATTTATCGGGAGCCATCTGCAATCATAATAACATAAACAAACAACAAAACAAATAGTTAGATCTTAATTTTTGCTGCATATATAGCAAAGAATAAAGGTATGGTGTTACATAAAATGAGTGATTTCAATCATTCTAAAATACAGTGGGCGGTAGTTGGTAGCAGCGCTAAAAAATGTAACTACGTTGAGCACTGATTTTTTGGAGTTTGTCAACACTACAGTTCTTTCACGGTATGTCACAAAACCTACTTCAGGCAAAATACCCTTTATCTGATGCTGCCCCTCCAAAATTAAAGAACATAATATTGGTCTATTTCTTAGAAGCATAATTAAAAATAATTTCCATTGCACTCTTATATGGAGTTTTTTGTTTCAATCATTCATCTACTTTACTAAGCTGTTATCACTAACCAAATCAAACTATGGTAGAGGCGACTATAAAATCCTAAAAAAATTTTTTTGCAGACTTTGTATCAAGAAATTAACTTGAAAAATTTTAAAACAATCTCATTATGATTAACTAATTCATTGAGATTCGATACAAGGAAGGTTTAGCTAAACATGTATCAAATCAAGCTGCATTAACTCAAAAATAAAGATCAAAACAAAAATGGTTTACAACAGCTAATAAAATTCTAACAAATTTTAATCCTTGCTCAAAGTTCGTAACCAGGTAAATCATTACTTATCTTACATTAGCTCAACCTACAAAACAACTTGCAAGCAGTTAAAAAAATACATACTTGCTGCACAAAAAAGTAATGAATTAAAACATGCAAATCTTTCAAAATCTAATCTAAAAATGGTATACAAATATATTTTCAGTCAAATAAAAAAGCATGTTCCCTTTGATAAAAAATGACATGGAACTTATAAAATCGCATGAAAAAGCAGAATGTGTTAATAAACCGTTTGATTCTGCTTTATTCTCAAGCAGGATTGATTAGGTATAGAATGTTAATATATTCAATATTAAAGAAACTGCAATTTTTGGCGAGTTGAGTAATTTAAAGAAAACAAAGCAGTTAGTACAGATAGCATAAATCATGATTTTCTCATAAGTGTGTCACTAGATCAGCTTGGCCTATTTTCCTTCTGATAGTGTCATTATTTGAATTATTTATAATGCCTAATATTTTGAAAAAACATGAATATAGACAAATATTTTTAACAGCCATAACATGTAAAATCATAGAAAGATTGTTTAAAAAAGTCACCTAGTTCAGTACAAATTAATCTCTAACCATAATATGGCTTCGTGAGACAAAAATCATGTGTTACAAGTTTATTAGAGACAACAGACATCACATTAGAGGCACTGAACCACGACCTTTATGCAATCATAATATATCTGAGTTTCACTAAAGCCTTTAATAAAGTCTGCGTTAGTTGACAATTTAGATGCTTATGGTTTCAAAGTCAAACTAATGAGATAGCTAAAATCATTCCTTCTGGACAGAAAACAAAGAGTTCTTGTAGACGAAAGCTACTCTGACTGGATCAAAGTTCAGAGTGGTATGCCACAAAGATCTGTTCTAGGTACTTTACTGTTTATAATGTACATAAATGGCATAACAAATTTTTTCAAATGTTCATTCAAGCTCTTTGCTGATGAGAGCAAAATAATAATGGCAATAAAAAAATCAATTTGATATTGAACAACTGCAGACATATCTTGATGATGTGGTAAATGTGCAAGTAATTGGAAAACGAAGTTTGATGCAAACAAATGCAAAGTAATGACAATATAAAAAATTTACCAAAACAACAATATATCACAAATTTAGCATACAAAATCAAGATCATAGCCACACATACTTATTGTCTAACAACCCAGAGCGAGATCTTAAAATTTTAATAACTAGCAATCTAAATTAAATTAAACCAGTCAAAGCTAATGTATCACTTGCTTCACTCAGAGGAGGTTTAGATACTGGAATTCTTCAGTGTTTAAAACACTTTATACCACGTTAGTGACAATACGCATGGACTCCTATTAACGAAATCATTAAAAAAATTATTGAACGAGTACAAAATAGAGAAAACAAGTTATTCCATTTATTAAAGGGAAATAAGTATGAAGATCGTCTAGCCATACTTAATATCTAATCAGTCAATGCACTTAGCACAAGGGTAGATGCAATTCAGTAATTTAAGTAAAGCTCTGGTCTTTATATTACATTCTATATCCACCCACCAAACAAGTGTTGATCTGGCAATTGTTCTGGGGCGGCAAGTGCAATTATGAGAAATAACTAAAATATTTTTTAGTTATTTCTCCTAACTGCACTTGTTTTTAAATATTTCGTTCAATAAAAAAATATGTTATTGAGCATATGAATTTAAATATGTTATTTCAACTGAAAATATACAAATTTACTCATATCATTTTGAAGATCCCATTTCCTTTTTTTGGATCGTTTGCAAATTACATCACGCTTTCAGGGGAATTTTTATTTCTCCCTTTTTTAGGTGGGGGAAGAAATGGAAAAATTTATGATGTTATAAGCGATTTTTAGAGCATTAAATTAGCAAATTTAGCTAAAAAGTAAATTTAAAAGAAAAAAAATTAAAAGAAGAGAATAAAAGCAAATTCTTGAACAAAACTAAAGAAAAAAAAAAAAGCATAGAAAAATTGTGTTTACTTTTGTACTTTATTAATTTGCATAGTTTAGTTCTATATATATATATATATATATATATATACATATATATATATATATATATATATATATATATATATATATATATATATATATATATATATATATATATATATATATATATATATATATATATATATATATATATATATACATATATATATATATATATAAATATATATATATATATATATATATCAAGCTTCTATATCAAGAACTATATCAAGCTTCATCAAAACCATCAATTCCGATTCTGTTAAATGATAAAAAATTTACCTAAAGAGAAGATTACTTATTGTTTTTTATATATATATAAAAAAAAAGATTAAAATTTTAGCGTAAGGTGGAAAAAGAGAGAAAGAAAGGGGTTTAATACATCGTGGCATAAGCGGAAGGGGTTCTAAAAAGTTAATTTTTTGTGTGACATGTTTTGCTGATTAAGAAAATTCAAGTTTTTAAATATTTATTTACTTAAATTTTTTCAGCCCATATTCTACGGTCAATGATCTGATTTACGATTGGCACTATAATTCGGTGCCCAAAGCCAGTGCAACAGCATTTTGGCAGTATCTTTTTGTCAAATATCAGTCCGAGTTTGCAAAAAATCATGTAAGTTTAATAAATTTTTTAAATTGAACTAAATTAATACCCACCATGATTGAATTTGCCCCACAACCTTGTCAGTACTATTTGCTTGTTTCAGTTTAATTGTGTCATTGTTTTATGCCACATCACGAAACCATTTTTTTTCTCTGTTCTTTTTTATTTTTAAATTTCTCAAGACTAGATACTTTTTATAACATTTTTGATCATATTGACCAGCCTTTTCTATTTATTTATTTATTTTATTATTATTATTATTTTTTTATTACAATTTAAATAAGCATTCTGTTACAACATTTAAAATACAAATAAATAATAATTAAAAAATATGGATATAACGATCGTTATTAAATAATAAAAGAACGCGGGGACTCGTTGAAGACCATACGGTCTTGTCGTTGAGTACCGCTAAGAAATGTTTGTGTAAAAGTTTATAAGATATTTAAAAGATAAAAAATAAGTAACAAAGTAAGAAACTTAAAATATTCCTTTACAAATACAATATTACATATAACAGTTTTTAAAGATACATAAAAATTTTATAAATTCATGTTTAAATAGAGGGTAAAAAGGAAGATCACTAAAAAATATCAAAAGTATATTGTTAAATCTTCAATTGTAAAAATAAGTTCTTTAAGCTTTCGTTTAAAACAAAAATAGTTACTTTGATTATTAAAATCCTTAGTAAAATTTTAAAGCTATTTTATTCCATAAGAATGGTCCGCGATAGTCAAAACAAAATTTAAAAAGATTTGTTTGAAAAATGGGCTGCTTAATAAAGTTATCATTGTGTAAAATGTATTTATTTTTATCTTTTGATGAATACAAATTATGGAAAGAGATTGGAGATGAATTGGTTTTACATTAAAACATAAAACAAAGAATATTAAAAATATTAAGCTCATATATATTAAAAACTTTCTTTTCAAATAATTAATTAATAAAAAATAAATAATTGGAATGAGTATAACGGTCTTTAAAATATATAAGACGTGCTGCATGCTTCTGCTGATAATAAAGAGGTTTAAGTTTATTTTTATTTGTACTACCCCAAGCAATGTTTGCATAGTTTATGTGACAATGAATAAATAAGTGATATAATTGTACTGAAGTATGTTTATTTAAAACATTTCTTGCTTTTTACAATATTCCTATACTTTTTGAAATTTTACATGATAAGATTTTAATGTGATTTTTCTATGTAAGATTTTCATCTATACAAACACCTAGAAAGTTGGTTACTGTTATTTGTTTAATTTGTATACAGTCAATAACAAGATAAGCCATGTTAATTGGCAGTTTATGTTTTTTGATAAGAGGATGGAAAAGAATCCATTTAGTTTTATCAATGTTAAGAGATAATTTGTTGGTCTTAAACCAGTCAGATATTTTGATTAACTCGATGTTTTTTTTCAACTAGAATGTTTTTGTGTGACAGAAATAAATTAGCATCATCAGCAAACATAATTGTTATTAAATCCGAGGCTTTGTATGATCATTTATATAAATAGGGAAATGAAGAGGTCCAATTATGGATCCTTGAGGAACTCCACATGTAATATTTAACAAATTTGATAAAAATGTTTCATTGGCGTAAACAAATTGTTTACGATTAGTTAAATAACTTTTCAACCATTTTAAAACATTGCCTGTTATACCATAATACTTTAATTTTTTAGCAAGAATTTTATGATCAATAGTATCAAGCGCTTTCGCTAAATCAATAATTATTGCCAATCTGAATTTAGAATTGTTAAATGAGTCTGATATACTTTTTGTGAGCTGAATAATAGCATGCTCTGTTGCATTATTTTTTTTAAATCCATATTACATGTTATATAATAATTTTTTTGATAAAAGGTGATTATTATTCTGCGTTAATATTGATATACCATAGATTTAGGTCATTAAAATGATCTCCACGCTGAATAGCTTCGTTTTATTATATATTGCTATGTAACAGATTGCTAACACTCTAGCTTAAATATGTACCTATTTTATCACCCAGTTTTTTTTTATTCAATTTCCAGAGATTTGATTTGAAATTTTGAGAAAAGTCAAATCAATTATTATTGCCTTTGATTTATTTTGTTTTCAACCCGAGTTTATGCGCAGTTTTTTCTCACTTTCTTTTTCTTCTTTTAAATCAAGCTATCTATTCCCTTATACTTTATCTTTTGTTTCTTATTTATCTTCTGCATCTTTTATCTTCAGATCAATTATTCTCAGATTACTAAATCTTGTGTTTTTTCTCAAAAGTTTGTCTAAAGAGACTTTTGGATAATCTTTAGCACCATTAACAAAGAGAAAATAATTTGTATAGGAAATTTACACCTCCTGCCTTGCCAATGTTGCTTATTGGGCTAAAGGCGGCGTTCAATTTGCTTGTTCCAAAAAAGCAATCTATAAACGTAGCTTGTACTGCTCTAAAAGCCTAGTTCGTGGTTTTACCACATTATTGTGATAGTAGCAGCCCTTGTGTAGTGGTTAAAGTTCTGGCTTCAGAAGTAGATGTAGCTATATTAGTATCATTAGTATGGAAAGAGGCGTAAACTTCCAAATTAAATGCTATTTCGCGGTGCTTTGTGATAAGACCGTTAGAAATTCTTGTAGAACCTTCATAACTAGTTAAAAAAAAATGTAACCTTGTGTCTTTTTAATTTTTTTGAAAGTTGGGACTTCACCAAATGATTATTAAAAAATTCTAATACTTGTATAATGTACAGCTATTAAAAATTTTTTGTAAACCGTTTTTTTTTAATAATAATAATAGTATATTTGCTATATTAACAATATATACATTGTTGCAGAGCATACTGAGATGCTATAACAGTTGTTAATGTTATAAATTGTCATAGTTTGCTTTAAAAAAATTTAAGGATCTTAAACAAACAACATAGTTTGCTAAGATTTCCAGTTTTTAATTATTCTGTTTTAAAGAAGTTATTTCTTGAGGAACACTTAAATTTTTCACATTCGATTCGTTTACTATGGGTTCCAAACAGGTACTTCAAATTGTATATTACATTTGTGAGATGAGGTCTCACAAATGTAATATACAATGATTTTACTATATCGGAATTTAAATAAGTAAAAGTTCTTTTTATCAAACCCAGTGACCTTTGCGCTTAAGAAACTATTGATTTTACTTGTTCGTGTTAAGTTATTCTTAAGTTATTCTTTTTATTTTCTAATAACTTTTTAGAACAATGGAAGTTTGTAAAATGTTAAAAAATATATAAATAAAATGAGAAAAATATTTTTAGAATAAAAACTGCGCTAGAATTATTTTTAATAAGACCTCTATATAAAGTAACTTTAAATACATTGGTTTTTAGAATGCCAAAGAGGCAATTGATATTCCCAGTGGTTGGAGATTGGTGACAGTCAAAGACGCTAAAAAAAATTTGAGGGAGATTCACACTATCCAAGAAGCATCATCGGACTCTGAGAACGATTTATGAAGATTCTCTGTAATGCTTAATAAAATCAACATGCAACGCGTTCTGTAAATCAAAAACTTGTATCATCTGATGAATCAGTGATTGGAAGACGTTCTGCTTTTTACCCTGAAGCCACACAAACGTCTCAAGGGTTTGCACTTTAAAGCTTATACAAGAAAACAGAACGTGTTTTTATCTCAAACACTTGTGAAGAGAATATAAGAAATCTTCAAATTAAAATAATTTACAATTTTTAAATAATTATTTTAGTTGTAACTAACAAAATTTTCTTATTAATATTTGCTTTTTTTATGTTTTTACTTTAATTCATAAATACCCTCCTTTATTTTTATCTCAGTATGTACCCTCTTTTTTTAATTTATGCTAGCAGAAATACAAATTTAATACGCATAAAATATGTTTTTTCATTATTAATACGTTAAATACGACTTAAAACTACACTGGTTTAAAATGATAATTATGCCTATTTGATTTTCGTTTTTAATTCACATTTTTCTAAAAGCGTCTTTTTAACTAGAAGTTTTAATTACTCCCAAAACTTGTAAAAATGCCCAACTAGCCCATCAAAGTCTATGGAAAAAAGTGCTAGAGTTCAAGTTAAAAAGAAAGCAGTACTTAAGTATTAAGTAAATATTTATTTTTTGTTTTGTTATTTAGGTGCCCCAAGAAGACCTAACGGTCTTCTCACAGAGCTCCACGGAAGCGCATTTAACCAGGAAATTCACGCCTCCTTCCTTACCGTAACGCGAAAATTACTCAAAGTGGAACAGACATACAGGAAAGATATAACGTTTTTAGGGTATTTCAATCGGTCTTCTATACAGGGTTTTAATGCTGGTGGGCCTCGTGTGAATAAGGAAAAGAGAAAGCGTTATTGTGATAGTATTAATATTTAGGTTATGTTCATTAATAATCTTGCGATTTTTTCGCATTCATAAAGTTGTACTTAATTTATCGTGAAATATTAGAAAGACATTATATTATCGTGGTCTTGACCCAGCCCATTACTTCATGTGGCTCTATAAGAAGCTGGAAGAGGTATTTAAAAAATAGTGTATTTTCTCAATCAGTCGCTCGCGATACTTTCAGAAACTTTTGCAGCAGCTGTGAGCTTTTTAATAGTGGCTAGTAGGATGGAGCAATTTTCAGAGCAAAAAAATAAGGTTTACAAATAAACTTTCTGAGACACAAATGATTTTCTATTAGTTATAAAAAAAAAGTAAAATAAAATAAATATTTTAGATGTATTTAGATTAGTTCTAGATGAGGTTTCTTATTGAAAACAAAAATTTTAAATGTTCTAAGTTTACTGAAAGTATTTTTTTTCAGAAAAATTATAAGTTTTTAGTAAAAATATTATGTGTTTTTATTCACAATCAAAACTTTAATAAATATATGTATATATATATATATATATATATATATATATATATATATATATATAGATATATATGTATATATATATATATATATATATATATATATATATATATATATATACATATATATATATATATATATATATATATATATATATATATATATATATATATATATATATATATATATATATATATATATATATAATATAAATAAAATATTTCCAAAATAAGCTTTTTATTATGTGTTTTTTGAGTACTTGGTTGAAGTAGTTTAGAAAAAAAACTTTCTTTTATATTAGGGTTCCACTAAAATCAAGAGGAACCTGAGGAACTCAATTTTTTTTTTTTAAATAGGAAGTTTTTTTTTAGTGAAATACAACAATTCGAATCACAGGTAAACCTAGTTCAAAAAATTTTTTAAATTGCTCTACCCTAGTGGCTAGCCCACGCCAGCATCCTCTAGGGTAGTAAGAGATATCTTAAAACAAAACTGAGGTCAAAATAACAAATTTTTTAAATAAAACTTCCGTGGGACACCGCTATCGTGTTCCCATATGCTAATATGCTAATTTGAGCAGCTGTGGTGCAGTGGTAGCTTACTTGCCTCAGAAACGTAAGATCCGTCGTTTAAACCCCACCTCTGGGCAAGTTTTGCGACATCGGTTGGAAAGGAGGCGTGAACTTCTTATTAAATGCTCTTCCGCGGTGCTCTGTGATAAGACCGCAAGGACTTCTTGGGGCACCTAAAAAAATTAAAAAAAAAAAAATACTAGCGTGTTTTATCTTTCACCGTGGCACACGTAAAACGATCTCACAGATGGACTACGCTAAGATGAAATGTTTTTTGTTTTGCCTGACAGCTAGCATAACAACAGTATCATCCCAAGTACAGCTATTGTACTATACGAACAAAACGATGTTGAACAAGATAATGACAGATGCGAAATTCTAGGACAGCTGTATATTACAGCCGATTTAGAAACTTGCATCTGCAATTCGGTGTCATCTCATTTCATGCGTGATAGTGTTTGTCTAAAATCCAATGCCTTAATTTTTACTATACAAATTAAAGTCTTCTTTAAATTATATAGTAAAAATTAAAAAACTAAAAACAAAATAAAAATCAAACATAAAAATAAATAAAATGTCAACTTCTTGAAAATATTTCTTTTTTTTGAGAATATGGTGTTCTTTATAGCAGGCCTCTTCATTGTGCAAATGACATCAAAAATTGCAGGTAAACATTTGTTATTTTCATATTTTCTGAAAAGCGTTGAAGTTCTTTTTGAACAATTTATTCAAAGTTTTTGAATTAAATTTATAATACTGTTACATGTTTTGCAAATGCTTTGTCAAACATTTGCTCAATGTTCCAACCGAAAAATGTTCTTTAAAGTTTTTTAATTTCAAAAATTGAAAAACTTTTAAAAAACTTTTTTATTTTTAAAAGGAAGTTATGTAAAGTAGATTAAAACAAAAATTGATATATATATATATATATATATATATATATATATATATATATATATATATATATAACACATTAAATATAAAGTAAAGTTATTAACCCTATTAACTTAATCTATAAGTTTATTTTGCAACTAGATATTTGCATAAATAAAAGTATTTTAAATAACTTTAATTAACATTGATTACGATATTATCTTAAGTTATTTTATAATAATTTTGCCTATTATTTTAAGTTGTCACAACTTTTTAGTCAGCAAAATTTAAGTTAACAAAACAACATTCATCAATTAATAATAAAACATGTGTTTTGATGTCCGGGGCAAGATGACTTTTTGATGTCCAGGACAAAATGGCTTGTCCGTCATCTTGTCCCGGTTATCTTGATCCTGATACAATCTTTAAAATGAATCAGAATTATGCTGATCAATTTATCATAGCCTAATACTTCTTGTATGGTTACCAGATTGAACCAACTAAATGAAAAATCCTCGTTTACCTTTAGCTGGTAATGTAACAGTGAAATAAATTATGTCAAACTAGGATAAAAAAAATTTTTCTCAACGTCGGAAATCTTTTTCAGAACTTAACTTTCATCATAAAAATAATATTTAAAAAGAAGGCATAAATAAATCTAGTAAATATAATCTTTTTTCCTCTCAACTAAAGTCAGCTATTACATTTAGTTTTGTTTTAGAGGTAACGGTAGGTCGTCATCTTGCCCCATGTTTCCCTATGTTAAAATAAGCAATGTATGAAATGATAGCATTCAATGTATATTGAATTATATTATTTTATGATTTATAATTTTTTTTAAATAATAAACAAATTTAAAAGTAGTAATAAACAATTTTAAGGAAATAGTATTAGTAGGAAATAGTATTAGTATCATAGCCGTAGAAAGAGAGAGAGAGAGAGAGAGAGAGAGAGAGAGAGAGAGAGAAAGGATCAGGGGTATACTGTCTTGGGTAGCCTGTCCAGATATTTTGTGATGCCCGGTTCCAAAATATTAATGAATATCATACTTTAGGTCTTAAAATGATAAATAGCAAATAAATTATTATAGTTATTTTTGGTTACTTTCATAAAAAACTGAAAATTACATTTAAATAATTTTGGTCTTATTAGACGAACACATCTTCCGGGCCTTTTTAGCGGCAAAATTTAAAATAATTTTTTCATAAGAAACGTTATTTGCTAAATCTGATTTAATTGAAAGAACCATTAAGTAGCACAATCACTCATGGCCTATAGTGGAACGAAGTCTTTGATGATAGCTAATTTGCTGAAAGATCTTTCACTTTCAGATGTTGAAAAAGGCAGTGTTAGAAAAATTCTAAGTGAAACGCACACTTGTGAAAATATTAAATGCAGCCTCTTCCAATAAACTTCATTTATAAGTTTGAGAGGCTTTTCGCTGGTTATAATATTTCTTCTTACGGAAAAAAAATGCCGAACTTTATCACAAAATTTGTTTTATACATAAGTCTTTGGGTAAATTTTAACCCGATTCTCAGCTCTTAAACGTAGTTCTTTGTCTGTTTAAGACTTCTGTGAGGACCAAAGTAAGAAAAACTTGTTAACTACCATCAAACATTTAAACCAAAAAGTAAAAACAGCTAATTCAATAGAACTCATACATTTAATTGGATAATGCACTTCATTACTACTTTTGCCTGAAAGGTATAACTTTTTTAGACAGTGTAATATATCTCTCTTGATTTTTTTGCTAGCAATAAATTAAAAGAGATATAATAGCAAAGCAATATATTAAAATTGCTTGTGGATTAATCTGCCTAATCAAATCTTGAACTCAATTGTAAATACCTGCCATATTAGCGCCATTGCCGCAGCCTTGACCACGACAATTTTTATGTCAAGCTCATTCTCTTCCAACTTTGTTATATCAGATCCCTTCTTCTTTTCAAGTTCTTCTGTTTTACGGAGTCCATCTATAACCTCCTACAACTGATTATCACTGAAATGCAAAAAAAAAACGAAACTGTTGATCAAATCGGGAGTGGTGTCCGTGCTGATGGTGAAAAATGTTAATTATTTTGATTTCTCAAATAACTTCTGGAACCACTAGTTTGCACACCTCGCTAAGTTTATTCTGTGATTTCCAGGATAAGTAATGATCTTGCATGCGTTTTTCATCTTCTTAGTGCTTATGATCTTGAAATGTTTTTTTGAGGCGAGCAACTCCAAGGAAGTTTCCATTCCAATTTTTGAACAAATTTTGGTAGGATCCTAATTACAAATAAAAAAATAATCAAAACAGTTATCCATATTTATATCTAGTTATAACTGATAATTTCGATTTTTAAATTACAAATAAAATAATGCAAAATATAATTTAAAATTAAAAATTAAAACTCTTACCGTTAAAAGCCAAATTTCTTGAAGCTAGAAATATTATGACATCAA